TATCAAGTTATTTTAATTTTCTATTATGACTTGTTTTTCCTTTTTCTCAGAACTATCATTCAGATTTAAGGAAAGCTAGTGTAGGTGAGCTGATTTAAAATAAATGTCAAAATCACAGATAAGTGTTAGAACAAATGGTCCATGTCAACTAAAGTACTGCAATTTATCCTATAGTTCATCTTCATATTGAAACATATCGGCATATGAAAATTATAAAGTTGAGTCTAGTGACCTAATCTATATAATCCTCTTTGTGGGACGCTTCTGACAGCCCATGCAGAAGAGCAAAAAGACTAGGAAAAAACCTTGCATTGTTTTAATTCAGATTAATTGAATTTCTAAGGAAATCCAAAAGATTTATTTAGTGAGAAGTCATTACACTGTCCTCTCATACTGGTTGATGGACACCCACCTTTCAGATTTCCTTCTTTTCTTTCACATTTCCTCCAGTATACTGCCATTTCTTATATGCATTAGCCCTGAAATATGCCTCTGCAGCCCTGTAGAATTACCTGTTTAATCAAACAGTACATGAATACAGAAAATTTTTCAATGCCTATAAATCCCAGCTTTTTCATTTAGATTTATCAACTTAACCTATCATCTGCTCTCTTGAGATGATTTAGGCAAAGACCTATTGGAGATCTTTTACCCCTGGCAGGTTTGTATCTCTGTACGGCTTGTAAGAATATTTGATTTTTTACCTCATGCCTGTATCTTAGCCACTGATAGTTAGCTCCTTCAGTTTAGTTCTTTGGTTTGTAAATAATCTGTATTTCTGACTTACCTTCCTCTCCCTCTCACTGTTCAGATTAACAGTACAGTCTGATGAGCAAGTGACTTGCAGATCTTCATTAACAAAAAGTGCATATAGAAAGAGTACAGTTCCTATCCTATGTCTTACAGGCTAATTCAGTTTGCTGCTTTAATCAGTCAGAAATCAGGTCTACTTTTAAATATTGTAGGGCTAATGTATTTTTCTCCGTACTAAGATGCATGGGACAAAGCAGTGATCTGGGATTTCTAAACCTTAAGTATTTAGTGGGGATGATGCTGCTCAGTGCTCTGCTCTCTATGAAATAACATTACTCGGAGTAGCTGCTGCCTTTTCAGTTTTGTAATTTCTCAATATCCCACAATGCTTCAAGAATGGAACTCCTTATGTATTGGGCTACTATGATGATATATTTGGATCCCTGGTTAACTAATAAATAGCAATGTTGCATCTCTAAATTTAGTCTTTTATTTATAACCTTGACAGCACAGGTACAGGGTAGATTTTAATAATGGCTTTAAACCATCTTTATTAATCCTCTTCATCTCAGGCTTCACCAGGGTGTAGCTATAGGAGTCTGATTAAATTGGACTCACTGCATCCAATATCACCCTCACAAGAAGCCAGTTTAATTTTTCTCAGACACCATACCCTAGTATCCACATTACTCACCAGATGTTCTGGGATGCATGCTGGGACAGGACTCACTAGCTGCCACTCAGGATTATGACACTAGATAAACCTGTATTGTTCTACTCACTGTGTTTGTAAGCTTGTAAGCACCAGTGGAAAAGGAGGTGCAGCTATGCTTATAAAGATCATTTCATTTAATGAGCAAAATAGCTGAGCTACATTGTATGGTAATGCACATCAGAGCAAGGTGCTCTGGAATAAAGTCTTGAAGCAGTACACTACAGAACTGCAATGACGGGTTGCAGAAGCGTAGCTGTCCTCATGTAAACAAACGCAAAACATATTGAGCTCATAAAAATAATAACATTCAAGAGATTTTAATCTAGATCTTTGGCACATAGGTCCTCTGATTTTTTTGAGTTAATTTTTGTTTGAACCAAAACATGTCTTTTAGAACCCATTTAATTTTGTTTTACAGATTTCTTATGATTCTTCCCCATCACCACTGAAGCTAAGCTGTTAAAATGGCCAGTCACACACTGCCAAAAGTACAGAGAGCTCATCTTGTATTGTTGTTGGATTTTCTTACATGTATGTCTTCTACATTGAAGTGGATCTTTTATATATAATATTCTAATGTCTCCAGCTTCCATTTTTTTTAATAAAAGCATAGAAATAGTCTTTTTCTTACCTTTTTTGATATTGCAGTTATATCAAGGTGTACTGGTTTTGGCTGGGATGGAGATTATTTTTTCACGGTGGCTAGTACAGGGCTGTGTTTTGAATTTATGCTGAACACAGTGTTGATAATATAGAGATGATTTTGTAATTGCTAGGCAGTGCTTTTCATACTGCCACACTGGCAAGGAGGCTGGGGGTGCATGGGAAGCTGGGAGGAGACACAGCTGGGACAGGTGACCCAAACTGACCAAAGGGATATTCCATGGAATCATGCTCAGTATATAAAGTGGGGGGAAGAAGGAAGAAGCATAGGGGGACATTTGAAGTGATGGTGTTTGTCTTCCCAAGTCACTGTTAGACATGATGGGGCCCTGCTTTCCTGGGAATGGCTGAACACCTGCCTGCCCTTGGGAAGCAGTGAATGAATTCCTTGTTTTGCTTTGCTTGCATATGTGGCTTTTGCTTTCCCCATGAAACTGTCTTTGTCTCAACCCATGAGATTTCCAGCTTTTACCCTTCTGATTCTCTTCTCAATCCTACTGGTGGAAGAGTAAGCACTTGGCTGTGTGGTACATGATTGTTGGCTGGGGTTAAGCCATGACACAGGGTTTGCTGAAAATCAGTATCAAAAGTCCAAAATGCTACTCATATTTATTTTTTTTTTAATTTGAGATCTAGTTTTTAAAAGTTATCAAGAACTGTAGATTAAAAGTATCTGACATTACTGGCTCCTGTTTGATATCCTATTGAGTTACTGTTGAAATTGAAAGTATTTTATCACAGTCATGCTCTGACATCAATTTTTGATCTTTCTCCAAGTACAGAACTATGCTGAGCACTATTCAATATAAAAGATATACTTACATAGAGGTTGCACTGTTGAATGCTTCTGGATTTTTATGCAATGCTATTGATAACTCTACTGTTACTACTTTAATAATGGACCTGTTGCCATCCCCTTCATTCTTGATATGAGAAGTGAAAGAGTACTTTTTATTACTTATCACTCCACTCTTATTATTACTATGTCCTTTGTTTCATTGCTACCTTTTACAAATTCCTAGCTTCTAGTTTGCTATTAAATTTTTGTCCTTATTCTGTTTACCATAGTTATTTTCACATTTACTCCTAGCTGAGCTGAATGTTTTTACATGTGCAATCTTTTTTTTTTTTAAGTTGTAATTCTAGTAGAACACTATTAAATTGTTCCCAACACCATCCACATTTCTTGAATTGAAACTATTTCTGCAGGGGTTATGAATCCTAATTATCTCAGGTCTATAATACTGGACTTTTCAAGCAGCACTGTGTGTATGCATGTCTAAATACATCATTTCTTTGTTATATAAATTACAGAGCAAAGTTAATAATTTACTGCGTTTTGTGATCAATTCCTCTATCAATCACAATGTGAATTAAAGTAGGCATTGTGCCATGCAGATGTCATCTTTGCCTCTGAGATTCTCCCTTCCTGTCCCTTTTAGTGAAAATTTCCTCCCATGACAATATATTACTTCAGGAGCTGGAGAACTCGCTATGATGGAGGGTATATTGTTTGGATCTAATATCAGACTGTATTACCTTCAATGATCGCAATGATCCCAATGCTTCTGCTGTGGAGGGAAACATGACTATGTGTCAAACCCTGTACAGGATTTTATCCAGCCACTTTGGCTTTTTCCTAGCCTTCTATTCTTCACTTCTCTACAGCAGGGGCTCAGTAATGCTTCTGCACTGCATTGCTGCCATATACTACCGATTTTATAATAAAATAATACTTGTCTCCTGTAGAAAAAAAAAGCAATATATGCCATATCTCTCCAGATTATTGACATGTACTGCCAACATTGTCGTATAATGTTGGTATAATGTGTCAAGTTGGCTTTGTTGATTTTCAATACCCTATAAAAACCACTATTAAGTATTTAAAGAACTCACCTTTTCCTAAGCTTCAAACTTTACCTGCAGAGCTTAAAGCCATTTTAATTTGTTACCTGTTTTCTAGAAGTCCCTAGTCTGCTCCTGAGATAATGACTGATCTTACTTTGACTCTTATTTACTCTTTCCATAAATAAAACACAAATTCTGAGTAGCTGGACACTCATCGGTTTGTGGCAGTGGAAGACATGGGGTTTTCTGAAAATGTAAGTGTAAATATTGCAGAACTCAATAGAGATTCATGAATGCTACTGACATCTATAGTTTCATACTGACTCATGTAATTTCTAATGGAAGATTAAAAAAAAACACAATATTTTTTAATCATATTCAATGTTCAGAAACAAATGGGAATAGTTTGATGACCTTCCTAATAAGACTTTAACCTGAAATCTTTTCTCCTCTTAATTTAGGTCAAAGAAGCTCTTTATTTTGCGTATGACTCTGGAACCTTATTTAATTATTATCTGGATGTAGCTATTGTTAAGCCCCTAAAATTTAGCACAGTTCAGCACATATTTCAGCTGCTTACGCTGGGGAATGTGTTTTAATATCGCTTCACACTTATTAAAATACAAATTATTCCAGAGCAAGGATATGCTGCTGCGACAATGAATAAATTTTAATCATAAAGTGTACAAGTGAAAATTTAACCTATTCAAGAATATTGTCAAAATGTTTTTGTATGATAATGTTTGTACCTGAATAAACATGCTGGGTGAAGTAATTACATGTACTGTAATAATGACTACTAATGGGAAACAACTACACACAGATGAAAAACAGTAAATGGTGACAGCTTTTTTATTTCTAAAAAGAATAACTTCTAATATATCTTTCTGATACTTCTAATAAAATATTTCTAAAATTTTAAATATATTTCTAAAAAATCATGACTCCTTCAAAACACTTTTTAAAAATATATCTCAATACTGAAAGAAATTTACTTACCTTTTTTTTCTCCTTCTTCTAGATATTTTTAAATGCAGATACAATCCGCCTGGGAAATCTACCAGTGGGGTCCTTTTCCTCCTCCTCCTCCTCCTCCTCTTCCTTCTCCTCCTCCTCCTCACCCAGCTCTTCAGCTCCTCGCCAGACTATCTATGAGCTCTGCGTCTGTCCCAATGGTAAACTTTACCTGTCCCCAGCAGGAGCAGGCTCCACATGTCAATCCAGTAGCAACATCTGCTTGTGGAGCTAGAATGACTCCATTTTATCCTCACACCAGAATAGCCTTTTGTTACTATCCTTCTGCTTCACAGTTCTGCTCGGTTTCCCTTGTGACAAGTTCAACGCTTCAAAAGGCCTGCAGAGCAACTTCTTCCAGTGTAAGCAGGAATACAGCGCTGCCTTCTCTTGTGGTGTGTGGTGCCACTCAACATAGAGATGGGAGTGACATGTTCAGAAATAAATGTATTCTTCATCAGGAAACCTAGAACATAAAATCACCTTTTTTTCCAAAAGGGACAATAACACAGGTGCCTTTGCTACTTGAAGTGAAGCACATAGTTTTAGATTTTTGCAGGACCTGGATATGAACTGCACATAAATATATATATATATAGTACATAAATTTGCCCAGAATCTGATGTTGAGATGAATTGGTTCCCTCTGTATGATAAATAACTTTACTGTCTAAAAGCACAATTTTCCATTCATCTTTTTGGATGTAAACTTTTATCCCTGAATTTTAAAATTTTGAAGCATTGTGTGATGCTTGCTTTATTACACAAATTCAGTAAATGATTTTTAATACAAAAAGAGACAGAATCCCTCCCTGAGTTTGGTTTCTTTAAATATGTGTTGTTACTCTTTGTCTACCAAGTCTAGGGTTTTATACACTAGGTAAATTTTGGAAGTGCTCAGCAATATTACCTTTCAAAGTTAAAAAACCGTATGTTCTTGTTTGTCAGATCTGAATGACCTTATATAATATTTTCATGGCTACTGCATGTGAAGTGATTGCTTTAAGTAAAACATACAATTTCTGGAAAAGAAGAACAGGGTAAAGAAGGAAATTCTGATATGTTTGTTGATCAGTGTATTGCTCTTCACAAGGTACTTGTAGTTGGCAAATATAAAAACCAAGAGAGAAATCTTCAAAGGTTCATCTTATCCATTTTCTGGCTATGTCTAAGTGCTGCCATTTGAACACAGTAAAAATATTGGTACTAATGTAACATGGGATACTGAGAAGCAGTGCACTAACAACTTGCATGACATTCACATTTATTATTCTCTTTTGTTTATCATCTGCTGCTAAGGTTTCAAAGTAATAGTAATATATATAAAACCACATATTAAACAATATTCAGTATTAAAAAGTATGTTGATATTACACTGACTATCAGGTCTGTGTTTAAAATATGCAGCCACATTTGCACTCAAAGCTCACTACTGACTTTCTTTTTTGACAAACCTCATGACAGATTTCTTTGTTGTGTCAATGTTCTTACTTGTTTGGCTTGATTGGTAATTGAAATATTATGAAAAATGCTTTGGTATACTGCTGGTAAATTTGTTCACAACATTGATTAACAAGAGTATCTTGAAACTTGCAGAACCCAGGAATGTAAAACAGTATAAAAATGCTTCCTATTGTGGAAGATGACTTGATTACATGAGGTAAGTGAGCTTTTTAATTCTATGCTTTAAATTGCATCACCTAGCTTGTAGTTTTAGAGGCTTGAATGTAAGATCATAAATGAAATGACAGCTTTTGCAAAGTAATTTTAAAGTCAAGGCAGACAGTGCAAGGTGGGTATTTGTACGCAATTTTTTTTCTTAGAGAAAAAAATGAAAATGAGCAAACTAATACTATGATTGCCTTTGCATTTTATTACCACATAATTAGGTTGATTTTGTTTTCACTTCAGATGAAATTCACTCCTATGCAGAAGACCAGCACAGGACATGTCAATGGCTTGACTGGTGCTTGCCTTATCTTTGGCCCTCTTCAGAGGTGTGAATTTCACCCCATAGCAAGAATTCTGTATTTGCAGTTTTTACCAGCTAAATCAGATTTCAAATTGATTATTTTACCACTTCAAAAGAATACCATTAACACCTGATTTTTTTTTTTTTTTGAGAATTTTATTCTTGGAAAGAAAATATATTAGAAAATATTGCAAGAAAATGTATTAGAACATGAGGATTTTTAGTGAGAAAGACAAAAAGAGATACAGATGGCAAAGAAGATGACAGTAAAAGATTAGAAAGTGTAGCCATACAATACACACTTAAACTGTAGGGATATAGATGTCTTTTTCTTATGTACACAAGTAATAGAATGGTAGTGTGAGAGTCATGGTTAAATAGTATTTCAGGAGGAAAAGTATATAGATATGTATGAGGGCACATATGTAGTCATTATCTGTGCACACCTACATACACCTATTGCTGAAAAGATGAACAAACATATTATAGTGACTAATCTATTTGATGAATTAAAATATGGCTTCTTACAATATAAATAGCCTAAGGTTTCTTTTTTCCCCCTTAAATAAACCCGTGGAATGGCTTGCAGATATTTTGTCATGAATTCTCTACCGAAAAATTCTTGTTTATTTGCTTTTTACCTTATGTGATTACTTACCTGTTGTACGTATAAAAAAGGTTTCTACTCACTGGATGGAAAGACCCAACCCCTACAAATTTTACACAACTTGGGTGGAATGGGAAGGTCCAAAAAAATCTTTTGTTACTAGCTTATTTTAACAACAAGACTGGAATAATTTGCCACTTGGTATGAAGAAAACTCAGAGCAGATATGTGGATGGTGCATTGGACTCCACAAAATCAAGTAGGTCCACATAGCTCTTCACTGTCAGGATATTCTTTATTGGAATCCCTTCAGTCTGAAGTAGAGAGTATTTAAGAGCTTCACCAACCGATTAGGTAGCATAACAAGTTCTCATAATGTCTCAGTATTGTAGTGAATTTCATAATATCAATGTTTTACTTTAAATTCATCAAAAACTGTAAGAAGGAAAAAAATCAGTTTTTATTTTAAAAAGTATTTCTAGCCCACATGATTTCAGGGATTATTGCAAAAGTGATTTAATGGACTTACAGAACTAAAAATTTAGAATACCATCCTTATGGTTGCAATGAAATATATGAAAGGACCTTATTGGCTACATGAATTTAATATATATCATAGATTAACCTCCTGTAAAAAATCTGTGCCATGATATTATAGGATACTGTCTCTTTCTTGTTTAAAAAAAAAAAAAAGAGAAAAATAAAAGCATCAGCCAACCTCTCTGAGCACTGTTATGGTTTTGTATAGCAGTTCATTCATCGTTTAAGTGTTAAGACCAAAGACTGACACTTCTATTATATCTAATACTATGACACTGCTGTTTCTACTAATTCTGTTGGAATGAAGAGATGAGAAGTTGTAATTACAACATGAAATTGTAACATAGTTTAGATTTGTGCAGCATTTTGAGCTGTAGACTGTCAATTTTTTCCAGAGTTTAAATTTTTTGTCAGTGTGTTGCAATTACCTTACTGTTCATGCATAGGGGTATCTTTTGGTAAAAACAAAGGAGTATGTATTCCAAAACTTGCCAAGACATTCTTTCAGTTGAAGTTATACTGGTTTGCTTACAAAACAGTGGCTTGACTGGATAACAGAACTCACTTTAACTCATTTTGAATGCAGGAGGCTATTAAGTCTGGATTGAAGATACAGCCATAAATGTCTAGAAGGATTTAATGAAGGATGTTTAAGATATTTGGTTGCTAACAAAATGTATTTTTTAGGTTTTTTTTGTTTTACTTTGTTTTTAGATTCTAAATAATTGCTAAATAAAAAACAAATTAAAAACCCACAAATGAGACTGGAATTGTTATCAGCTGATTTACTGTAATGTACATGAAAGTTGGATTAAAGTTTGAGTGTCATATTGTTTCTATCAGTACTCAGTAAAGGTCTGCTAACCATTTTTGTTTTGTAACCTTCATGTTAATGATTTTCTTGTGTATATAAATATATATAAAAAGATGGAAACTATTTTCTTACACATACTATGCAATATGTTTGTAGAACTGCAATATTACCAAAATTACAAAAGCTGTGCTTTTGTACTCTCTTGCTTTATGTAAAACAGATCTTTTTTTTATTCAATGGACTGTCAATCTTAGAATTGTGGATAATGTTATTCAAAAGCAGTACACTAAAATTTTAAGATTTTTTATTTTCTTTTCCTTGGATTTTTTTGTTTTATGAAAATAATAACAAGGTTTTGGAAGTTGGAAATTGCTTTTTCTTGGAAAGCTAGAACTTTTACAGCATGTAATTAATGCTGTCAGTTTAAAATGTCTCCTGTACTTCTTTTGTTTAGTCTTAGCGTTTTCATCTGGTGCTATTATATAACCATAAATAAATGTAATACATTAAATAGAAAACTTATAAGAACTAATTTCAAGAAAATCAAGCAGGAAACCTTCTAAGGGTGAGAGGAAGATTTGGAGTAGCCAGTGAGAAACTTTTAAGTTTTCTCTATATTTTTATTTGATAGATTTTATTTTTGGTAGTTTGTGTTTCCTTGCTTCTGTCTACATTAGCAGCATGGTAATAGCTTTAATTTGTTTTTCAATAGCTTTGTCCTCACACACAGAGTATAGTAGAGTTTTATTTCAAAATTTTTTTGAAAACAACAGACCCTGCATTTAAATGCAGTACTTATATTAAGAAAATCCAATTTAAAAAAAGTATAGGCTTTATTTCTACATCAGCATTAGTAAAGTCCTCAAGCACAAGTCCTATGAGGAGAGACTGAGGGAGCTGGGGCTGTTCAGCCTGGAGAAGAGGAGGCTCAGGGGAGACCTCATCACTCTACAACTACAAGGAGGTTGTAGCCAGGTGGAGGTTGGTCTCTTTTCCCAGGCGACTATCAGCAAACAAGAGGGCATGGTCTCAAGTTGTGCCAGAGGAGGTTTAGGTTAGATATTAGAAAGAATTTCTTTCCAGAGAGGGTGATCAGACATTGGAATGGGCTGCCCAGGGAAGTAGTGGATTCTCCGTCCCTGGAGATTTCTAAAAAGAGACTGGATGTGGCACTGAGTGCCATGGTCTAGTAACTGCAGCAATGCTGGATCAAGGGTTGGACTTGATGATCTTAGAGGTCCCTTCCAACCCAGCTGATTCTATGATTCTGTGATTCTATGGAAGTCAAAATTATGGTGCTGCATCTCATCTACCATGAAAGCATATTACACTGTTCAAGTTCCTTTGTAGCTTGCCAGAATAAGGTCACACTGTATGTTTATGTTTAAACTACGGCAGTTTACAAGCCACTTGACAACTACACAGTCATGTAAGAGGTATTGCAGTGATGTCACTAATGCAAACAAACCCCCTCTTTTTAAAATGGGTAGTGTCA